TGGCTGCTCCCATCTGTGCAAAGAACAGCCCCATCTTCTCCCAGGGACAAAGGACAAGCTGAGGCATCTCTGCATGTACATTCCCCCTTCCCCTAGGAAGCCAAATGTCAGAATTACTTAGCATGGAGCACACCTAATTTATTTGGTTAATTATTTTCAGCCAGCCAGGCTCCAGAAGCCCCCTGTCACAGACAAGAGCCTCATTGTACCACTGACTCTCTTGGCCCCTGGCTTGCTGAGAGCCCTCACTCACCCACCAAACACTGACCCCCAGCTCTTCCTGCTCAACACTGAAAATCCCACCACTGTTCTGTAGCACAAATTCCTCTTCAATACTGAAGTGGTTTTGAATGCACAACCATCCAAAGAATTTAACAGTGAAAAGAGTGATCATGATTTTGGGTTTTTTCACCCAAATTTGTATTGTTTTTTTTTCTACGACAAAAACAAAGAAGGTTGCGACCCACGAGCCAAAGTCCCCACTTGCCCCAAAACATGAAAGGCCCTGGAGCCACTCAGAAGTCATCACCTTGTCTCATTTTGAGAGGCATTTTACCTGAAGCATCCTCCTGGAACACAGCACGGCCTATGTTAGTACACAGGAAATTCAGAGCAAACAACAAAGTCACTTAGGACCCTTCAAGCGAGAGCCACTTACTCTCCTTCTCCACTATTCATTGATAAGGATGCCCAGCTCCTCACCTGCAAATAAGGCAGGGTGGCTGCTCACCCAAATGTGTGAAGACACATTCCTTGAGAGCTGCCTCCAGAGCCCTGCCACACAGGAAATTATATACAAACACACTCTGTTATGAAGACACAAACAAAGGCAGCCATAAAAAAAAACCCAAAAAAACAAAACAAAACAAAACAAAAAAAAAGAAAACTCTTGGTTTAATCAGAATTGTCTTTCTGCTGCAGGAATCCAGTGGCTATGTGACCTTGCTTTCATTAAAGAGTCCCTGGAAATGCAGATGCACCTCCTGTAAACGAAAGTGAAATTCCTCTTGAGGACTTAACTGTCCTCAGATCTGCATCTTGCCCAAGACAGAAAGCGTGTGTGGCAGTGGCATGGGGAAAATGGCTGAACATGTACAACAATTAGCTTTAAAAATGTACCATTCCGGCTATTGTTTCAGTGGCCTGTCCCTGGGGATCCTCAGCATTGCTGTGTTATTGGTGATGCTAAATGGGGTTTTCAACAAAGCTGGTCTGAAGGCTTGTGAATGCCAAAACAGCATTTCAACCCATTAAACTTCACAGACGAAACAATTTCTTCTAAAAATAATCATCAGTTCTTCCCACCAGAAAAAATTAAAGTCTGGCCAATTCCTACTGCGCCAAGTTTTCAGGCAGGCCTGAATTTTATGGCTGAGCTTATTAAGCTCTGAAGAAAAGCAGGTTAATAATGGAAACAACCAACAGAGCCGAGTTATAGGTGAAGAGAAGCCACCCTACACAACAGGGCTGCCAGGAACTGCTGGCAAATACATTCCACCTAGCTAATCCTGAATTTTCCTGTTCAGACTAAAAGATGTCTTAGCTCCTGCTAACATCCCTGCCATTATGTTGATGCAAATCCAGTCACGAGGCAATTACCAGCCCAGCCAAGGGCCAGCCATTGTGGGGCTGACAATAGCTTGTCAGAGGAGAAACAAATACCTTCAAACTTCTCCAAGATTTTAAGTCTCATTAGTATAAATCAGTTACCCAATTAATGAAGGGTTTAGCATATTGATTTGCATGGGATTACACAAATTAATGGCGCCCATAGAGGGAGACAGTGTGGCAGGACAGCTGGGGAGATGAGCAGCTCTGCAGGGAATTGTACTGGTGCAATACATCAATGAGGGGCACAGGCACCCCAGATCTTGTGATGGGGATGAAGCTCCTCCCACTCAGCTCCTGTGAAACCATCAGGGATACAGACATTACCTGGCTGCTGAAATTAATCGCAGACTCATTAAGACTGGGAAAGACTTCTAAGAATATTAAATCCAATCCTTAACCTAGGAATGCCAGTTCAACCACTAAACCATATCAACAAGTGGAGCAGATTTGTTCATGCAAGTAAAAGCTGGTATTAAATTCAAAACTTTTGTTTTAGCAGTTGCAGCAATCTCTGGCTGGTGATGGGTGGAGATGGCTTGCAAGGGAGGCCACCAAGGTCCACGGGTGAGATACATTCCCACTCTGCTCCAGCTGGGACACAGGGAATGCACAAAAGGAACCACCACAAAGAGCAAAGGGCAGCAAGGAACCACGGGGCCAAATTGCAGTGAGCAGGTTAACAGACAAAAGGGTCTCCTTTTGGTCAAGGCAGAGCAGATCCAGGGAGGAAAAACATCACCAGCAGTTACCCACCCAACAGCACAGGGAGAGTAACAGAGGAAGGCAACACCACACCAGGACTTCCCATCGGCATCCGCCAAAACGTTCCTGGTTCAGCAAAAGCCTCTTTGCCACAGCTGCTGCTCCTCCTGCACCCAGCTGGGTGCTCAGCTGTGCCAGGCTGTCCAGCCCCTGGGATCAGGAAGGGACAGTTCTCCCAAAGCAGAGGGACAAAGGGACTGGCCGTGCCCAGGATGCCTCCCTTTCCTCCAGGGCTGGCAGCCCCTCCTTGCTCCAACAGTTATAAAAGGGCTCTCAATCCATGTAATCCATTAGATACAAATTACAGCAATTTGAGCACACTTAACCTAGCATTACAGCAAGCCCATAAAGAGCTGTGTCTTCCCAGGCAATTTACACTGCTACAAGCAATCAAACAAACCACAGCAGAGGATTAAGCAACAAGAAAAGCAAACCAAACCCAGAAAATCTGATTCCTGGAACAGCATTATCAAGAAATTATTACTAGGGTTAGTTCACACTCAGGTGGTCTAAAACCATCACTTTTGCATAATCTCTAACCAACCCGTGTCTTCCAAATATCTTAAACCATTAAATCCCAGCTATTTGAGAGATGCCAAGAAGCATAGAACACTTCACCATTTGGCATCAGGATTGCAGTGTTTCTGCATCAATTTTCTCCCCATTCTACACATTTTACATTTATTTTTAAATTACCACCAGTCCTAGAGAACATTCTGAGGAACACAAGCAGCAGAGATCAGGCAATCCTCCTGCCAGGCTGGCCACAACTGCAGTGTTGGTTTATGAACCATTGCAGGCAGGTGTCCCCTGGCCATCACATCTGGCAGAGACACTGCAGCTATCCCAGTTGAGCTTACATGGAAAAAGAAAGCCATCAACATTAAAAAAAAATGAAAGCACAAGTAGTTTTCCTTCTATAAGTAGATGGGTTTATCCAGGCTCTGATTTCCTGCAGCAGCAATGCCCACCAGCTTACACACACCCCCCAATCTTTGGTTCTCAGGGTCCCCAGGTGCTCCAGGCTTGTCAGCACTGGCCAGACCTGGGTGTCTGTCCCTCCAGGCTGTGGGGATGGGCCATGGGCTCCCCCAGGGACAAGAGAAAATGCTGTGGGGTTTTGTGCTGCAAGTGAGGGGCACAAGCAGCAGCTGCTGGTCTGGTTACATAGGCTGCACACAGGAGGGACGAGGGTGACATTGTGAGAAAGGTGACAAACAGGGCTGGAAACCACTGTAGGACACATGGCTAGTAAAAGCATCCAAAGAGATAGAAGGGATTTTTATGCGCCATTCTCTGAGGTTCCCAACACCAGATGCTAGGATGAGGAAGGAGCCAGGACCAAACCAGAGGGCTGGCCTGGTCCAGCCAGACATCACAGCAATTACAGGATGGTGATGGAACAATTGCACCATCTGTTCAAGAAATGGCCACTGTTCTGAGAGGTTGCACTCTCCAGAATGAATACATCACCTTGCCTGTGAGGACAAACCCAGCTTGGCTCAGCCAGGAGAAGAAGAGCAGGACCGTGCCCTGGAGTATGGAGACTCCTCTTGTTGCTCTGGCCATTTGTCCTGACTTGGGGGGCACCAACACAACACAAAATGAGAAACTCTGATCACAGTCCCATTACAAGCTCTCCTTTTCCCCCCTCCACGTGTTACCTGTGAGGCCATTTCAGGACAGGCACTGAGCTGTTAAAACAGCTCCTATTAAGAGCTGGATCTTTTCATTCCAGTGCTTTGGGAGATGGCACCTCCCACGCTGCCAAGGACACCACCTTTCTGCTTCATTTTGCATTTGAAGTGCACTTACCAGCTCCATTAACTTTAATAATTAATTCTATACATGGAAATTTTTCTTTAAATCATGCTCATAATGGCACTGGTTATATATGGAAAAAAAAAAAAAACTGGAAGAGGGGAACACATGCCTTCCCTGAAGTGAGCAGCATGTCTCATCCCTACCCGTATGGTTTAGTTTACAGGCTCATGTCAGAGAGCCAACTTCACACACAAACACAAAATAAAAGCAGGAACACAACTTTTGATCATCCTACATTGATGTTTACTCTTGTTTCCTGCAGCCCCAGGTGACAAATCTGTCCTTTATATACTGGAAGTCTCTGTGCTATTAACAAAATCAACTGGACACGCTTAAAATTGACAGGAGGTCTCTGCATTGGTGGCTTGTACCAAACTAAGGAATAATAATTAGTGAGCAATTTGTTGTAAAATGATAAATATAAATTCAGAAATGTTTTTGTTTTCTGAGCAGAAATGCTCAAACCCAGGAGAATTTACAAGCAACTTTCTTACACATGAACACTTAGGCCAAGAAGGGAGATGCTGGAGCAGGCAGCAGCTCCGAACATAAGGGCTTTTGTTCCACCAATCTCAGAGCTCTGAAGAAGTTTTATTTTATTTTTTTTCTTCATTTAACTCTGCTGGCCTGCCAGCTGGGTATGAGCCAGAAGGGTTATCCAGTCAGACCCTACTGCGATATATTTACAATGGTAGTGCATCTAAGGTTTGTTTATTTCGGGATTAAAATTCAAATGGCTAGAACCATTTAAATAATTAAAGGGCAATCAGAAAATGCCATGAAACCAAACAAATCAGGAAAAGTCATGGAAACCATCAGCAATATTTAATTCAGAAATTCTCTTTGTTAGGGAACTTTGCTGAAAGAAAACAGCTGGATGTAGTTCAACCCTCTAAATTAAAAACAATCTAACAAGGTCTATAGGGATAACTCTTTCAGCTACATATTGGAGACCAGATTCACTTCTACCAAGTAAAAGCAATAGCACTCAAAGCTAGAAAGGAAATTCCTCAGAACTGAGGTAGTTTCTAAGTATCAGCACATTTTCCAATTCCTTGCAAGGCAACTTAGCTATTTACAATCCATTTTTTCCCACACATAAATTTATAATTTTTTCAATTTTATGGTTCCATGATTTATTTTCTAAAGAAAAATAATCTAACCAGAATATCCCTAACTCTACTAACATCATGTTTTAATAAATAACTGGCTACTTCTGGTAAAATTAAGCCTCCAGGATTATTTATACCAGCCAAGAATACTTTGTCTTTATAGCTTTGCAGAAATTTGGTGTGAAAATAAAGTTGAGTATAATGCTGACCCTGAGCTAACAAGTAATTAATGCTTCAATATAAAAATAGAAAATTATCCTTTATGACACAAAGGTGGAATAGAGCAAACCTTTTCTCTCAGAATTGCTTTCCTGCCCAGATCCAGGCATCCAGCCAGACCTAAAGGCTATCCAAAGCAGGAAGAGACGTGCAGAATAATTTTGAGTCTTTCCAAAGATGTTGCTTTTGCTAAACTCTTTTAAAAATTATTTCATCTCTTTTCTAAAAAATATACATTTCTTTTATTCGTGAGTTGCTGTTCACCACAACATCGTTCCAACAGCACAAGGAGAGAGAGGAAGCTGTCTCAGGTAGTGCCAGAGGTGCTGGGCATCAGATCCCAGGAGACCAAACACACCCAAAATGAGGCATCTTCAGCCCTGCCAGCTCCTGCTTCCATGTACCTGCAACAGTGCCTGTTCCTTCTCTTTTGCCCCCATCAGAGAGGAAACAAAACTCTTGCAAAAACAAACCCAATCCCTCCCCACCTGCCCTCCCACACAGGATTCCTTGGAACCAGAACCGAGTGTTAAAAAATCAATCCAGCATTCAGCTAACAAACGTGCAGACAAGACACATGTTGGCATTTGGAGCTGTGAGACCACAAGTTGTTTCCAACTGAACAAGTTTAATGCCTCGTTCCCTCGGGGATGCACGTTGGGAACTGACCCACAGGAGTTACAGCTGATTGCAAGGATCCCGGGGAGCAAAGGACAGCTCTTCTCAGCGTCTGCAGAATGGGAATTCTCTGTAGTCCCTTCCAATTGAACCAAATCTCCTGCAAAGCAAGCACAACCTGCTCCTGGCATGGATGCCCTAAGCAAACGGGGCCCTTGGCACGATGACCAGTTCTGCCTTCACCTTCTGTTTTACCGCATAATAAAGACAAATGACTTCCACTTCTCTCCAGATAAGGCAACTAACATAATGTGGATAAATGGGAAGTTAACTACATGAAACATTTTCTGCTTGTTGGGCAATTATTTTTTCCTCATAAGATAACATGATAAATAAAACCTGCTTCTGTACAGATATTTCTCATTTCAGAAACACATACTTGTTACAGGCCAAGAGAAGACCCTGGGGTTTTTGTTTTCGTAAGAAATACAGTAAAAGAAAAAAAAAAGTGATAAAGACACAAATGCAGAGCTAACTACAGGCTTGTATATACATTTTTGTTATCCACCTCTAACATGGATTCTTGGTGAACGGGATAGACTGGTACTTCCCATTCCTGTTATTCCCAGGATAGCAAGGGAAAAAAAATAAATCAGTATCTTAAAACCAGTGGCAACATAGTAAAAACTGTACACTGTTGTCCATTAACTTAAAAAGCAAAGTCTCTAGATGGTATAAAAGTGAAAGCAGGTGCCTTCTACCTTTGATAATAAAAGTCTTTTCCCCTCCCCCTATGCTGCACAATTATCTCCATTGTCTTTGCATGGCCAAGAACAAAAGGCTAAGGAGCAAGGCTGCTTGTGATAGACCACTTCTGGTGGCAGCAGCAGAAGTGTTCACGGTCTTGTCGCTCTTGTTGGAGCTGCCGGTGACCTCGGTGGCGTTGAACTCGAACTCGGGGGAGCACTGCTGGAGCTCGCAGCCGCTGCCGCTCTCCTCGCCGCTGCTCTCCTCACCTGGGGAAACAAACACGCCTGATGAGCTCCTCTGCTGTGCTGCTCTGCTGCCTGCACAAGGCAGCAGGGGCAAAAGGAAAGTGTGGCTGTTCTGGTGTTTAGGAGAGGTAAGCGTGGGTCACCTGGTTAATGTGATTTTTGTGTGCAGTCATCAAGGCTGGGCAATGGGTGCAGCCCAGAAAGTCAATCACATCCTGGGCTGCACCCAAAGCACTGTGAGCAGCAGGTCAAGGAGGGGATTCACCCCCTTGACTGCACTCATGAGACCCCACATGGAATTCTGCATCCAGCTCTGGGGCCCCCAGAATAGGAAGGGTCTGCTGGAGGGAGTCCAGAGGAAGACACAGAAATACTCAGAAATACCTTCTCTATGAGACAGACTGAGAGAGCTGGGATTGCTGCATTAAGACAAGGGGTAATGGTTTTAAACTAAAAGAAAGTAGATTTAGATTTGATATAAGGACAAAATGGTTTTGTGATGAGGGTGGTGAAACACTGTGGCACAGGCTGCTCAGAGAGGTGGTAGGTTCCCCATCTCTGGAAAGACTCAAGGTCAGGCTGTGGTTGGATGGGACTCTGAGCAGCCTGATGTAGTAAATGATGTCCCAGCTCATTGCAGGGTGATGCAATGATGACCTTTAAAGGTCCCTTCTAACCCAAACCACTCTATGGCTTTGTGGGAGCACCCCTCCTCACACAGCCTGTCAGTGAGTCCAGTTTCCACCCTCCTCACTAACACGCTTACCCACAGCTGAAGCTTAACCAGCTACCCGTGCTAGCATGAAATCCAATTAAAAGGGAAGGAAGGAAGCAAAAGGCAAACAAGAGCAAACGTACTTATGTCAATGAAGTCGACGTCGTTGCCGCTGTAGGCATTCTTCAGCTTGTTGGTCATCACCCGCAGGGCCATGATCTGCCGGCGAATCACCATGTCTGGCTTGGTAATGTCCACCTCAACCTCTGGGTTATTCACCTGACTTGCTAAACCATTTCCAGTCACTGCAAAGTCGTACCTGAAAGGAAACCATTCCTGTTGGTACCAGAGGTGCAGCATGGCAGGATCCCAATGACAGCATGGGAACTCTGCAGTGCCATCCCTGATTCCAGCTGGGGTGACGTTCTGAGCCCAACAGCGTCTTTCCACATGCTACACCTCACACAGCCCTTCTTGCCCCATCTCCTCTCCCTGCAATCTCTGCAGCATGTGGAATGAAGCGCTGTTTTCATTTACACTGTGCCACATGGGCAGGGGAATGACAATTTTCTCCCCAGCTTGAAAAAGAAAGGAAGATCTGGGGTTTATATTAATAGTGGCTTTCAACAGCATAAATCAGCTCCCTGCAGGCTGCAGAGCAATACAAGGTGCTGAGATGCCTTGATGCCAGTTAGATGACACTTTTGAGAACACAACCTCAAAGACCATAGTTATCCCGCAGAAACCTATAGTAATTGTTGGAGCTAAGAGTGTCATTCTGACTTTAAGTAATGGACCTTAACCATCAAGCTGGGATATTAAATGTGTGCTTCTCACCATGCAGACATGAGATGCAATTTCCCTAATAACCCCAGCAGGAGAAACATCTGTGATGCCGAAGATGAGATCCTGCAGCCTCATTCATCAGGGAAGGGGAGAGCCAAGATGCTCAGCTCCAGAAGGTGTACATGCTCAGGTCTGAACACTTGTACAGCCTCCTGGTTTAAAAGAGAGGCTGAGCAACAAAACCCAACAGAATACATTTCTTGACACAGGTATTTGGAGTATCATCTTATACAGCAGGGATAGGACATTCCCCTTTCCTCCAATTACCTGACTTGCTAAAAAGATCAGTTTAACAGAAGAAAACATGGCTTAGTTGTGATGTTTTCTCTCTCACAAGAGAGAGAAAAGTCTTTAGCACAGTCTACTGATCCTGGACACCAGGATATTATCATACTCTGAAAAGCATGCTCAAACCCTGTCCTATATATGGGAGTGACAATGACAATGATAATTGGTGGTGTCAGTTTTGTTATTATTTGTCATCAATATTATATGTTTCAAACAAGTCTGAGACCAAAGTGTGGAAGACTACCAAACTTCTGCCTTACTGGAGTCATGGAGAAAATAGTAAAGCAAATTATCTTGCCCAACCCAAGAAGATATCCAGCCTGCCCTGTCTCCTTGCCAAGGGCTGCCAAATCTCCATCTCCCCTCAACAGTGGTGCCCCTGCACACACTGGGGGTATCTGCTATGAAAAGCCCATGGAGGCTGCTGATAAACAAGATTTCAGGAGGCAGAGCCACTTCTTGTCACATACACCCAAAACATTGCCCTAGCAAAGTCTGGCAGAGTTTTAGGCACACACAAAACAGTGCAAAAGTTATGAGGTCTGGCTTAGAGCTGTGTCCCAAAACTACCAAGGGCAGAACCTGCTTTTACTTAGAAAAACTGCTGGAAAACTCCAGACAACTGCTTTTTTGCCTTTTTTTTTTAATGGAACATCTTGGATTGTGCTTATTTCCTCAGTAAGCAAACAGAAAAAAAGGAGAAACTTTTATTTCCAAAATAAAAGTTAAACAGTTACATAAACCATATGACAGAAAAACGCTGGCTTACTCATGTGTTGGCAATTTCTTCCTTACAAGCAAAAAAAAATACAAAAGTTTTGTAACTCTTTTTTCCATAGAAAGTGTGAATGAAACCACTGGCCCCCTTGTGCCACTGACCTCAGTAGTGGAGAAGGTCTCCACCCTCCATCACCCCTGCCCTTGCTCAACAAAGAAACCAGTTCCTGGTGCAAACACCAACTGGGAGCACTGGGGCAACAGCACAGTCAGACAACACAAGCACCTCTGCTCTGTGGCAGGGATACAGATTTTGTACAGATAACCTCCCCAGTTCCATGAACAACTAGTAAGGGGCTTCAGTCCAAGGAGAGATGACCTATTTGGGTCTCCACACTCTCCTCTAAAAGAAACTCCCATGTAGAGCTTGTAACTTTGGTGATACATTCCAGCTCTCCCATCTACAAAAACAAAAGGGGTAATGGCAGCAGCCTGTCTTGGGTGAGGTGGGATCCCTCCTGTAGGAGAAAAGGGCTCAGGGAGAGGGATCAGGACACAGGGAAAGTCTGGGGTGAGAGGGAAAGGGTTAACCAGGGGCAGCAGCATCAGCAAACCTGCTCTTGGCGCTTCCATTCCAGCATTCATTCTCATTGACAGTGCCTACAGACATCTTTTCATCATTGCAAATGTTGCCAGGGAGAGATGACCAAAATTTTTTGGCTTGTTTCAGCTTCTCTTTCACATCAGTAACCTATTAAATAAAATAAAAAAAGGAACACAAGACATAATCCAGAATACCAAACACTCAGTAAAAGTGAAGTTGAGAAGGTTTTTTTCATCACAAGAGACATGTACAGGCCAGATCTTCAGGCTGTGAGTTTTGATGGTTGATTTACTTTTTTAATACAAAATTAAACACTGCTCCTCAAACACATATTATTCATAAGCCAAGCTTTTAACACAGGCACTTCTCTGACATAGAAGCGCTGAGGTAATTAATGTCTAGAGCTATGGGCAGATTACACCCCTCAGAGAGTTTTAAGACAGCCAAGGAATATTAAGAAAGCCTATCAATTAAAAATGGTGAATTACACACTGTGGTACCCGAGAATGGAGCCCCTGTGTGGCACCAGCAGGAGCAGGCACTCACCAGCCGGTCCAGGCTCGTGCCAGCAGCTGTTGTGGGTCGCTCCTCTGGGTTATAGGGTCGGAAACGAGCAGTGAAACCACCTTCAGAGACAGAGCGAGCAGTCCGGCCTTGGGCAAGTGTCTTTGGCTGGCCACATCCCTGGAAAACCTGTGTGAGAGAAGGAAAGGATTTTATGAAGTACGAGGTCACAAGAGCCTCCCTTTCCCAGGCTCCAGTGCAGCCCCCGCCCAAAATAACACTTTAGCTTTATATATACTTGAAAGGGCATCCAAGAAAAAACATATTGACAAGAATAGGGAAATAAAACACATTAAATAAAAAAATCCCAAGTGTCCTCTTGGCCCATTTACCTTCTGAGACACTTGCATGCTGTTCTCCTGCATGTTCATGATCGCATCTGAAATTTTCACATCGATGGGGTCCATGACTGACTCAATGTTGAAAGGTCCCTCCAGCCTCTCTGCTACCAGCAGCATCGAATCTAACATAGAGAGAGAAAACCAAAGGTTTGTAATGGAGGAGGATCTACCACACAGAAAAACAAAGGCTTTAATGGAGGAGCTTCAGAAATAAGAGTTAAGAAGGATAACAGTTGGAGCACATGGACACTGACCACTGCAGTGTCACCTCTGACCAGCACACATCTCCAGGAAACATTTTGCTTAGTTCCCAGAGCCTACACCTTCACCAGCTTGTAGAGGCTGCCAGCACCAAACCACAGGCTCATGTACATCAAAAGCCATCACAGCCTGCCAACAGCAGCCTGTAATCAGCTCCTCCCATCAGAACAAGCATTACTAACACTCTCCTTTCCATGCTGGTTTATTAAAGGTTGCCTTGTGTCATTTGTTTTTCAAGACTGCTTTCAAAGCCATCAGCTTCCTCATGCTGGTCTTGAGCACAAGGCACCAACATGCAAGGGTCCAAGATAATCCTTGATACCATCTTTCCCTTTTGGAGAGCTACAGGCTTTTTCCTGCCTGGGGAAGCCAAGGGATTGCAACTCCTAGCACCACATGGACAATCTAGACAAGGGAGGGAGTCTGTGTGAGAGCAGGGTGAATGCTGTGCACTCATGATGTATTTGGCACATCTCTAAGCAAGGGGAGATGGAAAGTCTCTGAGCCAACACCAGGTCACTCCTCCTGTGCCGACCTGCACGTCCTCATCAAATGCATCATTAAACACAGCAGCTACTGGACCCTCCACTACTTCCTCTGGGAAATTATTACAGCCATTAAGGCTTTTCCCCTGCACTGCATTTAAGCCCTCTCTCTGGTTCTCCTCTTCAAGGTTCTCCAGGAGTACACCTGGCACTGAGCTCATCTCTTTTCACCTATCACAACCTTAATTTACTGTTAGCTTTCACTGCAGTCCCTCAACCCCAAAACATTTGCTGGTCTCCTCTCCTGCATCACTTCATGATGCTCTGCCACAAACTCATCTTTTTCCAGTTGCATGTAATTCCTCAATTTTTCCTAGCCTGAGTGACAAGGACAGAACAGCCCCTCTGGCCCCAAGGAGCTCCTCCCTGCTCCTAAGATATGCCTGGTTCCTTCCATTAACGAGAAATGGGCGTTCCACACTCAGTCTATTCATCTTGCTCATGACATTCATCCTCCTCCTAAGTGCAGAAGGTATTTTGCACAAAAAGAAAACTTCTGTGGGCTCTGGCTATCTGTTAAATCCCTATAAAGAAACTCTACATGCTGAACAATTTAGTAATAGCTCTGCCTGAGTGCCCAAGTCATGTTAAATAAATTACCTTAAAAAAAGATGAAAAATATAAAACAAAGATATTTGAGTATGTAAAGTTATTATCATTATCATTAAAAACAATAAAACACAATAATTATAATAATAATCTAACACTATAACCCCCAATATGAATTGCAGATGACTTCCTAGTCTGTAAATTCACTTTTTGAAGAAAACTCAATATTATAAAGAGTTGCTGTGTCAGTTAAAGGACTATCATTCAATTAAGCCCCTCTCACTCACTCAGCTCTACCAAGGTGTGGGTGTTTAGGGAGTGAGCTCCAGAGGAGCTGGTGGTCCCAGGAAAGGCACTCACTCTGCAGGCACACACGACCAGCATCAGTGACAGAACTCTTGCAGGGCATGGCTGAAATTTCACCATCAGGGACTACAAACAGGTCTGAACAAAATGCATTAAAAAAAAAAAAAGAAAATAAAAAAGAAAATAAAAAGGAAAAAAAAAGGAAAAAAAAAAGGAGACGGTAATAACAAATGAAACAAAGAGTCTTAGACTGTATTGTGGTGGGCTCCAATAAAGTGATGCTTCAAATCTCTGAGTAATGACTGCTAGCATGAATATACCATTGTGCCGGAGGAGAGAAAAATGCTTTTGATGTGCTACCAAATGGAGACTTTTGTAAACAAGTGGAGCACAACTTAAATGTGTTCATCATTGTCAAAGCTTTTGGGGTTTTTCACGCGCATAAAGAACATCCCAGCACAGTGTGCAGGAAGCCGCTCATTTCAAATAAAAATATTATGAGTAGACAGATAATAAAACCCACAAAATGCACAGTTGTTTTTTTTTTTTTAAAAAAAAAAAAAGAGAAATCATTCCATTTTGTAACTAAATTCTCTGAGTGGCCAGGAAAGGCCACAGATCAATAAAGTGTTTGTGAAAGACTGAAAGGAAACATAAACCCCAATTCTTCTGGCTGTTTGGCATCTTTGTAAACTGTGAGCCGGGCAGGCCATCCACAAGACCATGGGAATGTAGAGCGAATTGGGCCCTTTGTTAGCAGGGGTGCCATGGCGTTCCATGTATCACAGCCCAGGAATGCAGCCTCTGCTTTGACTGCCCAGAGAGAAAATGCATTCGGCCTCCAGCAGAGCTGCCAAAGCTGGCGAGAAAAGATAAGGAAAGGAGTAATTGGAGTTGGGATTGATACTGGCAAGGAACACTAAACGAAATAAACTTTCATTAGAAAGGGGTGGGGAGGAGCAAGAGCTGAGAGTGGGGGGGGCTCTGCCTCATCCACAGTTTTGATTTTGGAGGCATCCTGCAAACTTTTACCTCCCAGCAGGAGCTGGCTGGTGTCCCCAGAGCGGTGGTGGCCAGCAGTGGTTCCCTGTGCAGCCCCCAGTGACGCTGCCAAGGCTGGCTGGGTTCAGGGCACTGCCAGCACCGCTGCCCGCAGGAGGGGAGGATCCTGCCCCAGCCCCAGGAGCCAACCTTCCGAGCAACCCAGCCCCCAGAAAAAGATTCTCCATTACGGGGAGCAGGCAGGGGTTGATTACAAACAGCAATTATTTGTCCCAGCTCTCGAGCAAAGTAAATGATATTTATAAGCCGCGGTGAGATGGCTCAGCTTTGCTTCACCAAAATCCCCAACTCTGGCAGAGCGAAAAATGTATCCCAGCCATGTATTACAAACACACAGCACGACAAAGACTGTCTCTCCTGCCTGTGATGGGGAGATAGAAGTGGATTTAGGTGAAAAAAAAACCCAACCAAGACACACCATCTAGCACCATCCCTTAAAGACCCTTTTCCTCTTGCATACATTTGTCCTTGCTACTGGCATTGAGACAATCCCTGGCAACAAAGCACCTCGCTCTCATGAAGGAAAGCAATTCTTTCTCATTGTGCCACCAATAATCAGAAACCCACATCTTCAGCCTCACTGTCTGACTTGAAGAACAAAAGGCAGTTTTCAGTCTTAACCCCAAGATCTGATTTAAAAGGGGAAGGAAGGAGGGGGAAGACCTTGACCATTCATTAACAACAATCTTTTTTTTTTTTTTTTTTTTTTAGCGGGGTGGGGGAAAAATTCTTTGCACACAAAGTAGTACTCCAGATATGTATATGGAGCCTGAATTCGACATCTTTGAGCAGAGTAAACCTTTGTGGAGAAAAAAAAAATCATGAAAAGGCACTGGAGATTAACACTGTTCATTCAGGAAGGCTCCAACCCCCCAACAGCCTGTTTGAAACAAAGTATACCCCTGTCTAATTGGTGTACAATTGTGTCAGGAATAGAGGGAGAAATAATTTAGATAGTTAAAGGGGAGAAAAGAGTACAATTCGGTCATTATTTCATACTCCTCAGCTTTAAATGGTACTTTGGAGAAATAAGGAATTACAAAGTCTTCTTGTCTCAAAAAAACCTACAAACTTTACATCCCAGCTTTACATAATTGACTTACTTATAGACCCACTTGCACACACAAATGCGTATTTCACATTCATACAGACTTGCTGCACTTGCTACAAGTTATCTGATTTAACTATTTTAAAATTGATTTGATAGGTTCAAAATCTGCTTTTGACTTGTAATAAATCATTCCCATAACTTGACACTTAAACCCACAAGGCAAAATCTCATTGAGACCATGGAGGTGGGATTTTGTGAGGTGGTTTGGGGGAAATTTTTTGGGGCATTATTTCTTTAATTATTTAAACTTTTAAACGCATACACAAGACATTTGTGGCATATGCCCTGCCCTAAACATCAGATATATTTAATTTAATTTGTCTCAAGCGGCAAACTGAGAGAGAAACCAAAGTCTGGAACTTAACCAGCACCTGTTCATTTATTAAATTGTCTAAAGAAAGCACAGCTTAAGTTTTCTGTATCTGTAGTCCACTGCAACCATCAATGAAGAATGCAGAAACCAAGCAAATACTGCCAATAAATGTAACAAAGCTTAATACCACACTTAAGTAATGAGTGGGCAAGAAGCCCTTTGGGGAGGAATCACTGCAAGAAGCAAGCTTTTTTTCCAACCTGGAATCACATGTATTTATTTTGTCTTGTTTAATAATCTTAATTATTGTATGCAGTCCCTGATCAGTCTCGTGTGACAGGGCTCGCCGGCTTCCCCCGAGGCTCGTTTTTAGCTGCATACCACCTACAGCAATTAGCTGCTTGTGCTTTTGTCTGTTTTCTGGCATTATGCCCTTCCCTTTCATGGGATTCTTCTTTTCTACTTGGACTAGATGTTTGCAAGTCTCCTGGCTTTGAGCTATTTCAGCAACAATTGTAGTTGAAATACTTAATATTCTCATGAGAAAGACGGCTGAGAGGACTGGGGGCTGGGGTGTCAGCCTCCCAGAGAATGACTTGGAAACCCAACTTAGTGTCACATTTAGCTCCCTATATGGAATACACACACACAAAAATGTCCTCTGAAAATAACACCCTGCACACATTCAGTTGGCATGGGCAGCAAAGTGAAAATCCAGTGCACAAAACAGAGGAAAACAAGTTCTAAGACATAAATGGAGCCTGAAATGTCAGCTAGCAGCAATTTTTTTTTTTAATCCTGCAACTTAGTGAAATATTTTCTTTCTAACTTTCTTTTTTTGCCATGAGTGGAATGGAAGAGCACCACAGCCCTTTCAGTAGCAGCAGATACTTTACATGTGCACTTCATCACACATTAACTAGAGGGAAGCGACTGCTCCCAAAGGATGCTCAATCACAGATAAATCAAACCTCCTAGAAAAGCAGCACAAATGAAAACATTTAACATTATCTATTGCCTGTGCCCCAAAATGTGATGCACTGCCAATTCTGACAAGCCTTAACCCAAGGTAGAATTTAACATTTCAGTCTAAATTTTATGTACTGAATGATAGATACTGTGTGTAAGCACAGAAGAGAAATAACAAACAGGATGAAGAGGATGGCAAAAGCACTAGCACAGTTTCATACAAGACCTGCTGACATTGCAAAAGGATGGTGGCCAAGCACCAAATGAGCTGTTTAAAAACAGATTCAGACATGTCCCATTCAATTTTTTAGTGTAAAATCCAGGCCTACAGCTTTTCCCAAAGCTCTTCATGGCTGGCAAGGAGACTCCCAGGCTGCTGAAGGAGAAAACTGACTTCAGGAAGGACAGCTATATGGTGACAACAAGGTGTAAGTAGCATAGAAAAACCAGCTTGCACACATGCTTGATCCAGCAAGAAGAAACATTCTGAGCCTACAAGCCCACGCCACTTCCATCCTCCTAAAGCTTGCTGCAACAAAAGTCACTGGCACAACATTCTCATTTATTTGGAGGTTAATGTGAATGGCAAAAGGTGTGCTGTGCTCAGAGGTGTGGAAGGAAAAGATACCCATCACAGATACCTGAAAAACCTGCTACAGCTCAGCACAGCCACTCACAATGCTATTCAGGTGAGAGACACACTACCAGTGCAGTTTTAACCCATACTGCCTTACCCATAAAGATATTCCACTCGGCATCCAAGTCCCCTTGGTTGGCCAAGCAGCCTCTCATGACATTGAAGCAGTAGTTGTAGCAGGGCTTCACTGACACCAGGCCCCGGCAGTGTGGGCAGTACATCATTTTCAGCAGCGCCCGCGTTCCCTGCGGCGTGGGGTTCACCTTTACCAGAGAAAAAAGAACAAGAAAATTAGCCCTCAGTCACTAGAGCAAAAAATCCCAAGGTTCATGGGATGGAGCTGTGCAGAAGAGATACAGTGGGGTCAGGCATTGTGGCTGGTCCCTGCTTATGTGCTCCAGAGATCTGGGGAACAGATGAAGGCGTCTGGCTCACCTCCTTGGGTGTATGTGTCTTTCCAGGGGACACAGACAGCCCCCATCTCTGCAAAACATTATTTGTACCATGTAGGACACCCTGTATGATGTGGGACCCCTCCCAGGGCTGCACAGACAGGCACTCCAAGGGGACAGGCAGCACTCTGGCTCAGGGAAGGCAGCAAAATGCACCCAAATCAAAAGATGTCACACAAAGCTGCACTCTGTGAGCCCTGCTGCAAACACATGCTGAAGATGATGATGCTGGGATTTTTCAGGAAAAAGTGGGACATCAAGATGGGATGTCTGAACATGATCCCTGTACCAAACCCACCAGGAGCATGCCCTCCTCCTCAGCAGGGCTGTGGCTCTTCCTGGACAATCGCCCAGCAGGGCTCTCCAGTGCAGAGACCAGCTCCTTTATATCACATTCAAGTCCCTCAACACAGCATTTACATGACAGATACCCAGGTTCATTTACACTCAGCACTCATCACGCTCACTAACACCATTCCCCACACCCCAAGGAGGTGGCAGCTACAACCCTGCAGCTGAGGACAAGCTGGAAGGACCCTCAAAGCCACGGTGCAGCCGCTGGGCGTGCGAGTGGAGCTGTCTGCAGCAGGCACGTCACCCCTGAGCCCTCAGCAGGGCTGTTTTCCAAAGTGACTCATGATCATTCATGTTTGATTCACCCTCTGGCCCAGCTTCAAAACATTCATTGAAACCATCTCCATCCAGCCAGTCCAAGGAGCATTAGCTCCATCCCAACCACATGGTGGGTCCATCTGAAGTGTTGAACGGAGAAGCTCCCTCAAGAGCAAGTTTAAGTGTTAACTAGCCACATATGAAAACAGAAAATTAAGATGCAATCAGAAATTCCCTGACAAAGCAGAAGTGGTGTCTGGTGTTTTAAACAATGCACCTGAGACTCCTTGTAAGGCATTTAGGAAGTGCTCTAAAGAAGCTGTGATCCAAGACTCTGCTGGAGGAGACACACAGCACCTCTGAGAAAGAGTAAAGTCCCTCAACACAAACAGCTGGAGATGTGGATGGCCTTCACATGCTGGAGGTCTGGGAACTAACTTCACAGCAGAGGACAATAGGACAAAGTGGAGATGAATGTACATGAGGAAGATCTGGTACCACACATATGCTGAGGACTTTACTATTGCCCACCTCAATGCAAGGACTATAGAGAAACTAAGCCTAATCTTCTGGTGCAAAACCTTGTTGACAGCCCACAAAACTAGGAGGCAACAGATTTTAACAAAAACAAACCAGAAAAGAAAAAGCATTACATAATCAAGCTGGCTTTGTTAATAACATCAGCAAAATTTTAAACCCTCTTTTCTTATGGAAAGAGATTACAGATAAAGATCTGCTGTGCTTCTGACAACTCAAACCCATGGTTTCTCTTCAGCAGGCAAGTGAACTGGTTAGAAACAGAAGGACAGTTTTCTGCAGTTGATGTAGCTCAGCACTGGATTTTGGCTGGCCAGCAATGTTCATCAGACAGCACTGCACCCTTCTTTTGTCCACAAAGAGCCTGTATGGCTGAGGAAAAGGAGAACCCATGTAGAAAGCTGTTTGTGGTGGCTGTGGAATCTGATTCAGATGCTCCAGAGCATATACACATTCTATATTTTATATATATATCTATATATATATTTGGAAGGCACAGTGGGAGCAGGAGCCCCAGCAGAAGGCTCCCTATTGGGACAGCATGGCTTTAAAGGAGAGCTGGATCAAATACTAAGAGCTTAAGCAACAGAAACCAGCTAAATCAGATGATTTATAGTTGGAAAACTGGAAACAGACAAATGTAAAGGTATCATCTGCTATCCAGATGGTGCAGTCCTTGCACAACAAAAAAGTGGCAGGGGGAACTAAATAACATCTCACACCCAGAGACAAGAGCTCTGAAGGACGCTCAAGTTTAGCAGTTTAGTTGTTTCTCTGATAGAAATCCCTTCCTGGGTCACTTAGCAGGGAGTGACAGGACCTCCATGCTAAGTCCAGCAGCTTATCAGTTGATCCTGGCCATTCTAGCATTACTCACCCTCAAAGGAGTGCTCTGCATCCTCCTCGGTAAGAAAAATTAGGAAAATGTTGACAGCACGAGCCAGGTGCTAGAGCAGTTTGAAGTGGAATGAGGAGCAGGAGGATGCCCCAACCCTACTGTGGAAAGCTGCAGCTTTATGGAAGGGATTGCATGGCAGCATGCTGCACAAAGCCCCCCACAGAGCCATGACCCAGGAGGCCCCTGCCCATCTTAGGTTCCCACCTCGTCCCACGAGTGCCGAGCGGCTGCAGCCCCGCAGCATCCCCCTTTGATATTCCATAGGGGTTGATCTTTATGAATCCCAGCAGATGCAGGGGAAACTGAAGCTGCTTTCCTGCATTCTACAGCAGGCAATATGCAATGTGGTCATTTGGATCAGGTCCTTTGAGCAAAGATACAGGAAGATTTTAAAGCAAGCGAGGTTTCGCTTCCTTCCCCGCATAGGTTTGAGTCCTGCACGGAGCTGAGCAGAGCGTGATCACAAAGGGCTGATGGAAAAGACAAACCCCAGCCTGCACAGACTGCCAAACTGAGCCCTGCTAGTGATGGATGTAACCCACAGGGAAGCTGTTAGCATGCAATACAGCTGCAGGTAGAGGAAGACAATGGGCAAATTCATCAGTCTAGAATTGGCATTTCATCATGTCAAAAAGCAACAGGAAGGCACAATCAGAGATCACTCTAAGGCAGAACTGTGGGGAAGGCTATGAGCAATTGCACCTCGTTACAACAGTGATAAATGCTTAACTGCTTGAGTATCACTGCAAGAGAACCTTAACCCCTGGCACGGGGCCTGTACCCAGTGCAGACCAGCTCTGGCTCTGTCAGGGGGGTGTGCCATATGTTGCACCGGCAATTCTTCACAAGCTTTTAATGTTGGCCCTGCCACGCCAGGTGCAAGCTCTTAAAACGCCATTGTATGTAACAGTAAACCCAGATATGCTTTGTTCTGGGCTTGTGTTTATCTTGGAAAGCAACTCAAGTTCATTCAAACTGTACTCTAGAATGACCCTCAAAACCAAGTAATCTCCTCTCTAATAAAGTAGAGTACCAAAGAAAGCTTTATTTGCTGGAGGGGATTTACTCTGGTAGATTTGAGCCCAGGTAGTAGTAGCTGCAGTGCCCATACCCTGTAAAAGCTTCTGATAGAAGTAAATGCACTCCAGTCCCTTCCCTTTTATCTTGTAAAATTTATTTCCTTTCCATGGCGTTGCACACCAGTGCAGCAATCCATCACCCTGCGGTTTCATCATGTAAATTACAATTTGTCCATATCTATACGCTTTGTCAAACGTGAAGATTAAAAGCTGCTAACAGATGTGTTTTGGCACCAATCTTCCTATCAAACCTGCTCCTTAAAAATACAGACTTGCACACAATTCACAAAAATTAAGTGAAAAGCAAACAACTCAGGGCTTAATGTAAACATTTCGTATCATATTTGTTGGAGTAACATCCCAACTTACACTGACTGGTAAAGGTAAAATCATGTTCATGTAAAAATGACATGCTCTTGACACAATAAAATCTGTTTTTTCTTGGTACCTTGTCATACCTGTCCCATTTCAGAGTTTCACATGAAAGAAACTGTTACACCCTTAGCCTTTTCCAACTTGCTGGCAATTGCAGCTGGATGCATTCCTCTGGTAGAAACATCACCACTAAAGTACACACCTATGGAGTGCAATGCCTTATTTACAGGCTACCACAAAACCACCAAAACTCAAGATAAACTGATCTGTGCAAGCAGATAAAGTTCAGAGAAGCAACCAGATTCTTTTTCAACTCCTTCCCAAGGCAAAGAATAGCTGAAGAAGGATGACAGAGCTCCAGCCATGGACAGTCCTGCAGGGAGCTCCCACAGTGTCAGACAGCCAGGGCTACATTACATTCTCTCATTCTACCCTCAAGTTAACATTAAGAACGTTAATAATAACATTTAAAATCCTGTCAGCTTTAATAACTATTTATAATAACACTGATAACTCAGGCTTTCTTATTTTCCACGCTTACACAACAACAGTTGCCATGCCAGCAGCACAGCTGCCAGAAAACAAAAATCCAAAAATTTGAAAATAAATGTGATGAAACTACTTTTGTTTCATACCGTGTTTATTTGCCAAAAGAAAAAAAAAAAAAAAAAAGAATGACAGCAATACTGGCTAAAAAACTGAAAGAGTAACTTCCCAGTGACATGGAAAGATGATTTCAAAAACATACTCTGAAGCTGCCTGTGAGATGCTCTAAGGTGAGCAGTCATCAAGTAAGTTGTCATCGATTTTGGGACCAACACAACCCTACTTGCATAATTTTTTCCTTCTCTCAGTGTTGTGCAAGAGCCCACAAGAACATCATCTTGGCACACGCTGGTCCTGACGTTCAGCTCACTGTGAAGCAGAACATCACTTGGGAGGCTCCCGCTTTGCTTCCCCACCCCAAATATTCCAATGAAAGTGTTTTGGAATTAACTACACATTTAGCCAATTTTGCTGGCCTGGTGCTAGAACATTAATAATTTAGACAGCAACTGGTTCAACCACAGATTAAGGCCCCTGAGGTCTTGCATAAGGGAATACATTTAGGAGTGATGTTGGGAACTGCATGACTCTGTGTCTCAACACTTGCTACCCATGGCAGCGTCTGCTGCGGCGTTATCTCGTGTGAGGAGAAGTTCAAGAGTACATTTCTGCTCAGTTCCCTGCTCAGTGTGCTCCCCCCACTCCACAAGTGACAGTGCCAAGAGGAAAAGCAGAGCTCCTGAGAGCCACAGCACCAGGCACTC